AAGGGAATCCAGACAGGAAACAGGACCAGAAGAGTTAATTCGAATCAAATCAAATGTGCTGCCCCACTCACTCACACCCAGGTAACTGTGGTTTACTGAGTTTATTAATGTTCACCAGTAATTCCCTTTACCAATATTCAGGGTCTCCAGTGCACGATTCCAAACACAGTGAAGCAGGAAGCATGACGAGGAAACAAACAGCCGGCAAACTGACACGTTACCAGTAACGCCTCCCTATTCCTGCTGTCCTAAATAGCCAACTTCCCAGTGCAGCCCATCAAGATAGACAGGGTCTTCTCCTCCGGAGTAGTCTGGCTGACCTCTGTTGCTCCTGCCTTTTCTCTGCCCTGTGTGCTCTCAGATCAGGTGCAGGAGGCACTTCCTCCTCCTCTTCACTGGCTGTCTGCCACTGCAGGCTTTCCCCAGCTGAAGCCTCCTCTGATCCTCTTTTGGCTGGCTGTTCAGAGTCATTATTTAACCGGGTTCCCGATGTGTCAGGAACGGGCTCATCCTGCCTTGAGCTTATCTTCAAGAAAGAATCTGGGAAGTCGTCCAAGCGATTGCAGCCTTGATGCTGCCTTTGTTTTTAGCTCTCTCTGATATATATATATATTTTAATCAGTCTCTAGAAGTGGAAATAGTAGTGTCAATCTTGTAACGGAATCCAGACAGGAAGCAGGACCGGAAGAGTTAATTCGAATCAAATCAACTTGATTTGGCCACAGATGATTAGACACACAAGGAATTTGTCTCCGGGACAGAAACACTCAGTGTACTTGCAAGGCAACAGAGAAAATAATAATACAGCTCGACTTACAATCACATCTGAGCCCAAAATTTCTGTTGCGAAGCGAGAACTTTGTTAAGTGAATTTTGCCCCATTTTACGACTTCTTATATTTGTTAAGTGAATCACAGCAGTTTTTAAATGAGTAACATGGTTGTTAGGAGAATATGGCTTCCCCGCTGACTTTGCTTGTCGCAAGGTTGTAACAGGTGATCATATGACTCCTGGACACTGCAACCATCATGAATACAAGTCAGTTGCCAAGCATCTGAATTTTGATCATGTGCCCATGGGGATGCTGCAACAGTCGTTAAGTGTGAAAAACTAAGTCACTTTTTCCTGTGCTGTTGTAACTTTGAACAGTCACTAAATGTTGTCAGTTGAGGGGTACCTGTATTTAATAAAGTGCTTTTATGTTTGTTTTTGAAACAAAACTATTCAAAGCAGCTTGATTTATTTGTAGACTCCTAGAGTTCTGGTTGCATGTGCGATGCACAAGTCAAGCTGATTTCCAGGGAGGCTCAATTTTGATTCTAACCCCCCTTTTTTCCCCCCAGTTCCTCCAGTGGTGACAATGAGCAGCAGGACAGAAGCTGATGGTATGGAGAGGCACGTCTGCCGAATCCACGGCTTCTACCCCAGGGAGATCGATGCCTCCTGGACGAGGGATGGGGAATTCTGGCTGCAAGACACCTTCCATGAGTCTCTGGCCCCCAACTCAGATGGGACCTACTATTACTCGCTCGGAATCCAGATCGATCCCAAGGAGAGGGGCCGCTATCGTTGCCACGTGGAGCACAATGGCTTGCAACAACCTCTGGACCTGGCCCTGAAGGGTGAGAGGCTGCAGGGAGGGAAAGGCTGGGCTCTTTTTACAGCTGGAGGATTATGGGAGAGAAATTGTGCGCAGATATATAATAATAATAACAACAACAATAATAAATAGTAGTAGTAGAGTTGGAAGGGACCTTGGAGGTCTTCTAGTCCAATCCCTGCTCAGGCAGGAAACCCAATACCATTACAGACAGATGGTTGTCCAGTCTCTTCTTAAAAACTTCCAGTGTTGGAGCATATACAACTTCTGGAGTCAGGTTGTTCCACTGATTAATTATTCTTCTTAGATATAGGTTCCTTCTCTCTTTGATCAGTTTCCATCTATTTTATTCTATTCTATTCTACTCTACTCTACTCTACTCTACTCTACTCTACTCTACTCTACTCTACTCTACTCTACTCTACTCTACTCTACTCTACTCTACTCTATTCTATTCTATATGTCTCCTATGACGTAAAGACATCTGACATTTCTTAACTTGGTAGACCCCTTATCTTTCTCACTGTTTGAGATCTTTTCCTCCAATAAGTAGATATTTTGTGGTTCCCATGGAGTGATTTGTTCTTTCTCCCAATACAGTTCCAGGATCCAGTTCCAGTCTGGGGCTTATCATCGGTGTTAGTGTGGCTGGCGTTATCTTGGCGTGTGCAATTTCTGGGATTCTGGCATTTCTCAGTAAGTATCCCTTTCTGGGTGATTGAAAGATGGGTCAATTTCTCCCATGTGTCTCCCTTTGGGGAGCTAGCTAACTTGTTTGCTTACTTGCTGCTTGCTTATTTATTTATGTATTCATTTATTTATTACCTGACTTTATTATTTTCACAAATAACTCAGGGCTGTAAACATATCCAACATACTTTCCTACTATTTTTTTCTAGCCCAGTGCCTTAACCACTAGACTAAACTGTTTCTCTTCTGTTTCTGGGCTTCCTTTTTCCCTGTTTTCCCAGCCAACAAGAAGCATCTGAGATCTCAGCCTCTTGCTGGGATTCCAGTCTCAGTTCAGCTGAGTCCAAGGTTTGGACAGTCCTGTCTTCTTCTGAGTTGGGAAGAGGCATTCCAGTTCTGTCCCTTTCAAAGGCTTTGTTCAAAGAGAAGGGCTTCAATGAAAATCTTC